GTGCATACAGATGACTCATGTGACTCTGCGATGTCTGATCTAATGCACTGCCGGAAACGGTGGATATGGGTCTGTTGCATGTGTTTTACGACAGGGAATTTTGCTGCCCGTCTGGTTCCTCCCACGCGGAAAGAATCTCGCCTAAAAGTTTGGAGCATCTCACGCAGGAAATGAGCACGTGTAGCGAAAGCAAACAGGATCAAAGTTTGATCTTGTGTGACAGCCTGCCATCGCTGCATGGCATTTTCTCCAATGTATTGTATCACTGAGTTGCAAGCACAGTTTTGCAGAAACGACACGGCGGAGTCGGCGAAAGGGATCATGGTACACCCCTCACTCTGCAGGAAGTGCCACAAAACAGCGAAACCACACATATCCTCCGGTGATTCATGATTCATGAAGAAAGCTTGAAGCGAATGCATTTGAAGGCCTAACATGTGACAAATTTTTGATGCAAGAATGCATTGAGTTCATGTACATGCATGACTGGACATCCGAAAAACCGTGCTTGAAAATGGTCGTGTAGTCGGTCAATTCGAATAAGGAACCAATGCAGACGTGTCTCAACCAGCAGAACAATCGAGGTTGCGAGATCATAGCGTACATGTGCCCCCGAAATGGACCACAGGATTTGTTGCTCTGCATCCCATGACAAGCATGGCAGGATAACAACATGCTGCAAGAATGGCTGGTAGATACGAGCGATGCATTCCAGTTCATCAGACCCTGCCCAACTTGGTTGCAAACACATCGACTGTAGCCTCTGCCAAATGTGCGGGGGGATATCACTCTGCATCATCTGATCCTGCGCGTAAATACCATGGAGACCAACCTCAGTCTGGCACTCAGCATCTCGATTGTGGACTTCATGACTCTCTGGGGCACCGTCTGTGCTCTGTTGGGTCTCCTGTGGTGGGTTGGACCCTGAAGGCACAGAAGCTGTGACATCTGTTAACAGGTTACTGGGAGCCTCGAAGACCTCTGGTGGTTGTCCAGCTGCGCTAATGGCCAGAGAGTCTAACCTTGAGTGAATGCCTGCGTCGAATTGGAACAAATGAACCAGGAAAGACAAACGCAAAGTGTAGGCCACCTGCTGTAGGGTATCACTAGCTCCAGTTAATGCCCAATCCTCAATGGATGATTGCAAAGCTCGGTGAATGATTCTTCGGTTCACATCCGCTAGGGCATGTAAATGATGATGAACATCTCGGAATGCCTCCTGGGCATGTAGGATGTGAATCCACCTCTGCAAAAGGCCCCAGCCACACATGTTTGGCGGTGTGGTATCTGCGTTATGCCAGATATGCAATCTGTGAGCAGGAATCTGAAGCAAGTGACATATAAAGAATTCTAGGCGTGTCTGCATTGATGGAGGGGCTTCCAATGTCATGATCTCCGGAGTCGGATGCTGACGGTCAAATTCAACACCTATCCAATGGTTTCCAAAAAGGATAGGCAGGCAAGTCAATCCTGTGTTAGGTACGCTTGTACCTTCTTGTTCAAAGCAAAATTCATCTTGCAATGCGTTGTAGTATGCTATTGGCAAAATGGTATAATGCGAATGCCTGGAATGAATGCAGTTAGCAACATGAGATAGTTCGTCATTGGCCAACCAGCCTCGAGTCTGTTTCATACATGTAATTCGCTGACCCAGCGTGGCGTTTGCCTGAAGCATGGCAAGGCGTGGGGAATCCCACGTAGGTGCCCCTCCAGCAAGAATGAAGAGTTGTCCTTCATTTCCATGGCTTTGCTCACCCGACGGGTCGCCACAGAGGCGAACCCAGCTAGGCCGGCGCAAACAGCTGCGGACCAGGATATATTCTTTTTGGACTCGATCCTGGTAAAGCCGTGCCACTTCGGCTAGAATTTGACCGCTTTGTCCTTTCTTTTTGCGGTATCTTGAGTGGTCTTCTTTGTTTCTTGTCATCATTTCTTGAAATTCATCTCTCAGAACAATAACACAACCTGCAGTGTCATACCTTTGACCTTGCTCGAAAAACCCTGGTGCACAATTTAGATATTCGACTGGGCCCCGCCAGCCGAAGTCAGGGATACACACGATGGCATTTTGGGCATGGACTCGATGGAGGACAGTTACCTGTCCAGAAGAGACATAGCATTGAACAGCTTGCGATTGACCTAGTGCATCTATATCTCTGTGCTCGGACCTACATGTCTTCTCCCCAGAAGGACTGGCGACAAAAAGACATCTGTCATCACACTTCTGGAACTCGGCAAAATTATTGTCCTTGATCAAAACGTTCACTCCTGCTTGGACATACGGTTTGAGCATACGGAGTGGAGATCGACTCTCTCCGGTTCGGCCCGCAGATATCGGTTCTGGCATCCGAGATGTAGAGGCCTTCACAAACGGAGTACTCAGCCACCTGCAAGAATACCAAACAATACATCCAATCGCCAGCAGCAAACCGGCCAGAAGTCCGCAGAAAGATGAGGATGGTCTCCCCACGCATGTACTCTAGTGTCAGTCTTCTCATTAGTATCACTACCTCCCACGACATCAAACAAAGAAGCAAAAAGAAGAGATGTTGCCACCAAAACCCTTCACAAAAAGACTTCACAAAAGAAGCAAGGTAAGCTAACACAGAGAAAAGCATTGAGGACTTCATAGATCGATCATCTGCATCTGAGCTTTCGAAAGGAGTGTCCTTAGGTCCCTCGGCTGTCTGTTGACTTTCTGGAGGCGTCTCACGCCAAAACTCCCAAGTCCTTGTCAAAGGTAAGCAGGGCCTAGACGGATCTTCCACACATAGCCGGTACGTGCGGCGCCCACACTCCACAATTTCTACGATCCGCATGGTTTGGCTCCAACAGACAAAAGGAGTCATGCTATGTGACATCTTGATCATGAATTTCGTTTGCGAAACGGCTTCTTCAACTTCAAGGATCACGAAATTCTGTGTCCACAGCAGTCTCTGCCTAAATTGCCCAGTCAGAACTCGGTGAATCGCCTTCCATTTGATCGTATCACGTCGAGGAAGTGTTGACACCACAATAGGACCACTCGTCCGTGCCATGGCTCGATTCGGGCCGACAAATCCGTTGCCGACCACAGCTACACCACGGGAAGGTTCGAGCCGCAGTAGCTAAAAAAGAACAGGACCAAAAACAAATCCTGACTAGCCCCTGGTCCTTAGGTCCTCTGGTCCTTTGGTCCGCTGGTCCTTTTGGTCTGCTGGTGTCGTGGTTCTTCGGTCCCCTGGTCTCTACTCCGTTGGTCCCACGCTCCTTCGGTCTCTTGGTCCAGTGGGCACCTAGACCTAGTCTCTTGGTCTCCAAGTTCGCTGGTCTTATGGTCCTTCAGTCTTGGTAGTTCCCTGGTAGAGAGATAGCTTCCCAGCGGGGTGCTAGCTCGCTGGTAAAATATTTCCCAGTAAGGTGATGCGCTGTCTATACTTGGTTTGCATTGCAGGTTAACAGTTGCCACTACCCCTGCCACCCAACACTCCGACCACCCCACTACCAAGCCGTGGTTGCGCCCTCCCCCGCACCCCCTCCCACTTTTTTAATAGTTCCCAATACCCCTGCTATTACCAGTGCCTCAATCACCCCGACCGCCCCACTACAAGTCGTACAACAGGTACCGCAACAACTATCTCCTTTGCGTGACACTACTATACTATACTTGTTTTGCATTGCGGGGGAGGCGCTGCGCCCTCCCCCGCACATTGCCGTCCACTACCCCTACTATAACCCGTGCCTCTACCACTCCGACCACCCCACTACGAGTCTTACCACAGCTACTATCTTCTTGGCGTTGACGCTGCCACAAAGGTGGATGATAACGCCAACCTTGTAGGAAGCGCTGTGCCCTACCCCTACCACTACCACTACCACTACTACCACCACTACTACTACTACTATTGCCACTACTATTGCCACTACTATTGCGACCACTATTGCTACTAGTATTGCTACTACTATTGCTGCTACCCGTGCTACTACTTCTACTACTTTCACTACTACTACTACTACCACCACCACTACTCTTTTTCTTTGCTGTGAACATTTTGGTTTGATCCTGTTTTTTCCTTTTGATCCCTCTTGAATAGTTTTTTGATGCTGATCTTTCTATTCTTTTGATCCCCCACCCCCAACGAAATCCTCTCTTGCTTCGGCCAGGTAACACTTCAAAGAGCTGTGGCAACTGTCAGCCACACTAACAAAAGTAACAGGATCTCTGGCCCACAGGGAACATACGTCGTCAATATACCTCCAGACAAATTTTTGTTTGCTGAAACACTGCCTCTCGAGGAATCGATCAAAATGCCAAAATGTAGATGTTTGCAAAAATGCCTGCCCATCGTAGAACATCCTGTCCTGTCGGTATACTTTCTTGCGACGGAAACAACACAAGCATCTAGGACAAGCTCCGGAAACCTCAAAATTATAAATGCGCTGAGCCATGGGCTGCACATATGTTCACAACAAAATGCAGTCTAAAGCACACGTTGTGGACTAAGTGACTGAAGGCATCAAACCCAGTTAAACTGGTCTTGTATGCGCAGTGACCCGACCTGACTCGACGCAGTGTGCCAGCCCAAGCTCGTGGTCCCACTACGGCACATCTAGCGGCCTCAAAAATCCCGGGTGGGGATAGATGAGACAGCTTGAAATACATGAATTTCCAGCAGATTTTGGGTCTCGCCACTCCTAGAGTGATGGCTCTGGAGAGCTGAAGGTTCACAGATGCCTTTGTAAAGAGACCCCCGCAGGCTTCGGCTGCTCTGGATCAATCTGCATTTGGTGCAGGTCCAAAGTTTCAGGCTATGTTTGTTGTTTTTTATGGTTCAAACCATCTTCCAAGCAAATTGCAAGAGTTTTTTAAATCCTAGGTCTGTATGAAACAGGCTTCTAAAACAGTTCCCAGTACAAGTTAAAACTTCCGCTGACTTTAGAAACCTTTCAACACTATTGGAGGCATCCCGGGGGCCAAGTTGAAATAGTTTCGAATGCATCTCTACAATGAAGAAGCTGAGGTCATTGCTTCCAAAAGCCATGCTAGGAGTCTTAGCCTTGCTTTGTGGCACCTCAGCTGATTCCAGTTAGCAAAGAAAACACAGCAGAAAAGAAGAGCAGATTATATAAACGCCGTTGAACAAGTTTCGATGCCTAAGTGAGACGGACTTGAAAGCTGCAGATCAACGGTCCAGAAGCAGGCAATGGTTATATTGTTGGCATCAACCAGATTTATGATGTCAGCATTGTTAGCACCCCAGATTGTCACGAGAATTTGCAAGCTGTGGCAGCTTCTTCTCTTCATGGCTTCGTGGCATCCGTGTTCACATATACGCCAAGGATGTTATCAACAAACCGTTCTTGCCTGTAGCCGCCAAAGAGCTCTCCATACCTCAAGCATCTTTGCGGCGTTGATGCAGCGAAGCATCGCTGAAACATATCAAGTTGGGAGGCAGAGCACGCTGAGACAAACTGTTTCAGCATGTCTTCGCTTGCTGAAGCAAGTGTTCCTTTCTCGCCGTTTCTTGTAAGGCATGGTTCGCCATCATTGTCATGGCACTTGCTGGAAGCTGGCTGTCATACAATCTCTTTGGTGAAGCACCTAAGAATTAGGACCGCATGACATTTGCAGTTTCAGAATGTGCAGAAGCGTGCTTTGCGCAATCGACTGTAGGTCCATTGATCGGTTCGCTCTATGCCTTTGGTCTTGTGCTTGGCACCATCTACAGTGTCCCGACCCCGCCTCAGCCTGGGAAGGAGACGGCGTGAGTGTTTGTGGGAGCTTCATTCTGTTTTGCTGGGAGCCCATACCAGGTGAGGTTAACAAAACATAAAGCCTTCCAGCATTGACAGGGGCAACATGTTGACTCGAAAAACAAGTGAACAAAGAAGCAGAGATCTGTCCAGTGTGGCCATGATCAGACACATCACCTCAAGAAAGTAAGGACTCTTGAGACGGCTAGCAAGGCAACAAAGCTGAGAGAAATTCAACTCCCAAGAACTAATACGGGGAACCAGGTGCAAGCTCAACCTGCCACAAGAAACTTGACACTGTCAGTGTTTTGCGAACCTTGTAGACTTCTCCATGTTCCTCCTCTATTATTCTAAAATCCCCTCAGTAATCCCCTCCACCTATTAAAAAACACGCCCTCCCCTATTAACAAAAACTCGGGTGCATTTTTTTAAATAGGGGGTCCCTGAAATCGGGGTTGTCCAAAATAGGGTCAGTGGGAGGATCCTTCTGAATAATCATTGATTACGTATGAAATGCAGATGTCCTGGCAGTTGCAGCGCTTGTGAAGCTTGAAGAGCAGATTTCGTGCACAGATCGAAGGGTCTTTCCTTTTCCCTTGACAAAACCTTAATTAAAGTAATGCGTCATTAGACTAACAAATAGAGCTTTCGAAAGGTGATGTCGCTGTGCCATGCCGTTTTGCGCGGCCTCGGTGGCAGGTGCGTTTGCGTGAGTCCGTGCGTGGAGAGAGGTGGGCAAGTAGGGTTGCTTTTGGAACCTAATGAAAAGAACTACACCAAAATCGACCATGTTGGTAGTTTAGTAGCGGCTTTAAAGGGCGGCGGCAATTTCAAAACAAATACAAGCCGTATTTAGGGGTTTCCGACATGGTGCTTTTTTGATGGGGGAGTGTTTTTAATGGATACTCGGGGATTACTCCATAGGCAGGCTATATTGCTACTTTCTCTTTGTTCTGACTCGCGTGTTTCTGAGGCCCTTGCGCCTGAAGAAGTCCGCCGTTGCAGCAGCGATGATCATTGCCACTGTTCGTTGCTATGCTGCAAGGAAATTTCAAGAAGATTCAGACTTGAGCAAACGTCAGGAAGTTGTGAGACGAACGGTCACATCACATCCAGAGCGCAGAGTGCACAGTTGCCCCGTGAGGCGGTTTCCTGTTGAACTTTGGCGTTTACTATGCGACACGGGCTATGCCAAACACCTGGAGCCAAGAACATGCCAAGAGCACAAACCTGTGTTGGCATGTTTTAGTGTCGAACTGGCACACTTTTCAGGCTTGGGGTGCCTTTTGGATGGAGCTACCCCACCATTTTCATCACATGCTTTTGCTCCGTGGGATTCTTAAGCATTTGAAGCTAGCTTGACCATTGAGGCGACCCTACCTGCTTTGCAGAGCACTTTGTTTTATCGAGAGCAACCTCCTGAACAGAATATCTCAGTCTCAGTCTTTCTTTAAACATTTGAGGTGTATGCTTTGGTCATTGCAGTGACGAAGGCCCCCTGTACACCATGTCGTAGCCAGTGTGCTATTGAACGGGTCGAACTCTGTTGCTAATAGCTTCTTGTTTCTAATAGCTTCTTGTTCCTAGCAGTAAGGCACTTGTTACTAGTAGCGATGCACTTGTTCCTAGTAGCGAACATCGTTTCTTTTTTCTCATTTTTTTGCAGGATTTGCCAGATGTTCAGGGTGACCTTGAGAACAAGATCGACTCTTGGTTATCCAGTGCAAGTCACAGGGCGCAAGAGCAGGGCAGAAAATGGAGCGGTAGAAATGGTAATGCAAGATGGGAGAAATAGGCACAGCCAGCTTCGCGTCCTTACTTTTTTTTGAACAACCCTGGAAATCAGCCAAGGATACCTTCGCCACTCGGTTTGGAGTAGGCCTGGCCCAAGCTGTAGATAGCAACTGAATTGCGAAGCAAATCGAAAGGTAGCTGCTATAGCTGAAGGTAGCTTGATTCAGCTTGACAGCTCATTGATGTGAAACACCCTAATAGCACTGGCCTCCAACCGAAGAGCGATGGCCTCCAACCTAATAGCGATGAGGGGGTTGAATGAAACATCGTTAGCAAAGCGCATTGGCAATGCATTCTCCATGGCGTTTTGAACCGCTTCGATGTTTTGAACTTTGGCGAGTTCACTCCGTTGAGCCAATGGTCATCGTGAGGCACCGTTGCAACAGCTGCAAGTGCAGTGCTCCTAGCCAACTATGCTGCTGCCTTGGCTGGTTACTCAGACATCACTCAGACAAGCTCTTGGTTTTCCTCCATTTTCAGGCCGTAGCGGTGAGAAACATACTCCAGACAAGACGAGCAAGCAAATTCGAAGGATTAAAGGAAAGCTCGGGTTCTTCGAAGGTTCTCCCGTGACCCTGTTCAAAAGCTTCCTGGTTTTGAAGCAACGATGCTTCAAGCGGTCCGGTACAGTTGGTACTTACCAGCAGAAGAATGTGGGGACTCCTACCATTTGTCTTCTGTGGAAGCCAAACAATTCCTGCAGGTGTGGGCCAACAGCCCTGCTGCAGCTGCCTTTCGCCCCAAAGTCCTTTTGTTTGACTCTGAGCGAACTGAACCAAAGTTCTGATGCAGCACAGAATTCAGATTAAAATCAGATGAGGTCGACAAAAACAGACAGGAATGGTGATAAATATTGGCCAAGCAGAATGCAGCAAGTGTCCTTTCATGGCTCAGCGATGGTGATTTTTTTTTGCTAAGGCCAGCCCACGCAGTTCTTGCATTGCTTCTTGCAGGGTCCTAAATTGCAGTGCACAGTGCCAACATTCCAATGACGTGTCGACTGCATACGTTGTCATAGGCCAACATGCTTCAACCTCACCTGGGAGGTCACAGGGAGATACAATGCGAATCAATGCGATACTATTGTTTGATAGGATCCTCCTGTCCGGATTCGTAGAATTAGGCCGTCAACTGTACGACGGATAGTTCGAGCTTGTTTTGCGGCCGGAAAGGGATCGTATAAAACCGAACGTGCCGTACCACGTGCACTGAACATTTAATTTGTGGCGAGTGCAATTGGCAAACGATAGACCGCCAGCTGGGCGCTGGAGTTGTTGGAGGTCGCGAAAGGCAGTCAAAGAACTTCTCCGCAAGATAAAACCTTCTGACTTTTCCCACAGGAGCTTTTGGCTTGATTTCCGACTGGTTCTCTCTGTTTGGCAGAAGATCACTTTTGTGGTTCGATTCTCCCCGTTTCCTTGATGGAGCGGTGAACAACTCAATCTCACTTGCTGTATACAGTATACATTTCATATACTGTACATAAGCTCTTGCCGCTTGCCTTCCCTTCGCTTTTGTTCATCCTTGTCATAGTTCTTGACAACAGTGCTTTGTCTCTACTTGGGCTGATGAAATAACCCCGGGCTCAGCAGTTTGGCCTGCACCTTAACACTACTAATGCATGGCTGGCCCAGAAAACGATAAGAGTAAAACAACGATAACGAGCTTGTACATGTACATGTTCATGAACCTTGAAGATTGCAAGAATGCGAGCGCTTGGGAGGATACCCACATGACCGGTTTGAGCATATCGCCTTTTGAAGTGATATTTATGCAACATGAAAGGAACATGAAAGGAAACGAATGCGAAATGAAAGGAAACGAATGCAACATGAAAGGAAATGAAAGGAACGCACGACATCTGTTGGCTTTTGACCAAGGATACTTCACGCCCACAGAAAGCTGGACAATTCAGATGTCTAGTACACAGAGCTCAACACCTGAGAAAACGATAAGAGCAAGAAGAAGCGATAACATGATTTCGAGGTATTGCAAAAGACACTTTTTTTTAATACCCCACTTGTTGTTCATTTTACTACAGTCAAGGTGGTTTGGAAAACCAGGCAACACTATGGCAATGGTTTGTGGATTGTTTAATTTTGGTTTCCCTTTCTACCCGGTGTCTACGGATTGAATTCTTTTGCATGTGGCGTCCCCTTTGAGGTCCGCGGACTGGTGCGACTTCGCCGTGCTCGTTTTAGCCAAGAAGGCCTCAAAGCATTCTACAGGCCGAGATTGCCGAGATTCGGGTGCTCGACATGCAAGATGTAGGTTGACAGAAAGCTGAGGGTTCATCAAGGCAGTGCAGAAGTAAATTTCAGGGAGAGACCTCTTCATGTCATATCCGAAGCAAAGCAGCATAAATTGTCGAAATCGCACAAAAGAGCCTGCTAGAAATCAACGAGGAACAAGCTGTTGTCAACATGGTGCGGTATCAACTAGGACTGTGCCATTTTTCTTTGCATGAACGACCTTTGTCTCGGTTCATTCGGCCTTCCTATAAGAGATTCTCAGGTCACCTCATGTCCTTGTCAACCAAGTAATGATTTCGATTCCATTCCACAATTGCGGCCATCGCTCTTAGGTTGGAGGCCATCACTCTTCTTGACCGCAACGCCGTCCTTTACAGTCTGAAGCGAACAGAGGTACTTCATGGTACTTCAGTGGTTGAGTTCCCTCGTAGGCTGATTTGGCTCCTCTTCTACTCGGAATACTTCCTCTTTCCATTCGCAGGATGCCTCAGGAATGTTCAGCTGGCCATTGATTCATGACGTGAAAAGCTGTCACTGCCGTGCCTGTGAACACACAGATTATGCACGGCTCAGGTTTGATGTTCTTTGCACAGAAATGACTGCGAGACAATTGCGAAGAAACGAAATGTGCAGCCTAGCATTGGGCTCCAGCACTGTTTGAAATGAAAGACATGCGAATGCCTAGCATTGCTGGTACTGCGTTACTTGACACAAATCGATGCGTGGCTGCTTTCACAGGGTCCAGCGAAACCCTATCCGAAAAGGCAGCGTTTGATACAGAGGTGCACGAAATGACTCCCAACACTTGCTGGCCTACTTAAGAAGCAGAATTGACGATTTCGGACTTCTGGTTGCAAATTATTTTTGTGAAACTGCCTTGGGCACTATCAGTTCTTGGCATTTGTTTCTTCTGCTTACAATCTAGCTCGTCCAGGTTCGCAAAGTCTTAGAGCAGAAGTTTAACCTAGAAGGACGTACGCTGCTCAGAATCCCCGAAGGTTACAGACGCTGTGAACAAAATATTGCATGTAGAGGCTTGAGAGAAGCATTTCTAAAGGCTCAGGCTTGAGCTTGCAAGCACCTACTTAGCAACCCAATATATATTGCGTGTTTAGAGGTCGGTAGATTGCAAATACAACTCTGAATGAAGCGACTTTGGCCATGCTGGTCCAGCTAGGTTTTGCTCAACTTGATGCTGAAGGCACCTTGTGCGCTGAAACATTTTGAACTGGTGAAGTTCTTCCTGCCAGAGGAGCAGGTAGAGTCGGTAAACCGAGATGGCCAGCAGCCATTGATGGGAGTCCGCCAAAAGATAGCAAGAGCGGCAGAAGGAAACATAATTGGGACATATTGGAAGATACTTCTTTAGCGCTATTTGCATAATTTCGTTGCTTCATTGCCTGGTGTCTAAGAGTGGGATGGTTCCCCGGATGTGCTTTGTCCGAACGACTGCAGTGCCAGGTGACAGCCCTGTAACCTGGCAGCAGGCTGCAGCGAAGGAGACTTCATTCCTTCGCATCGCATATACTCCACCGATTCTGAACGCTGACCGAACAAGATCTTTTTCCCGAATGCGTAGCGAAGGGTTCTCGTTTAACTCTTGGGGGTCTGGGGGTAGAGCCTTGTTCGCGACCCGTTGCTTCTATGTTCGCAACCGTCCGCAACCGTTCGCAACCGTCCGCAGTAGAGCGCTAAGGCGCTGCCATTGGGGGAAGGTTTTGCAAGTGACTTTTCATGGATGTGTCACGTGTCAGTTTGCGCCGCTATTCCATTGTGATTTGCATGAAAAAGACATGTCGCGCAAGCAACGTGATGCGTTTCGCTGCACAGGCGCAGCGTTTGGTGAGATCTGCAGATTGCTGCGCAGCTCCATTGGGATTAGCGTTTGGAGAGTCGTGTTTTTGGGGTGTTGGATGTGGCCGTGCCATTGGGATTTGCGTTTCAGGGTGTGGCATCGAAGCTCTGTTTTCGTGACAATTCTCAGCTGAAATGCCGATTTTGGTGGATGGGAGTGTGCTCAGAACGGGTCGAAATCATTCCAAACGTGTGGTGTGGTGCAAATTTTGTTGAAGCTCACATGAGATGACATTGTTACTTTTCGTGGCAGGCGCAGGACTTTGTGCGGGCTTTGAGGTGTGGAAGTGGGATTTTCGTGGCAAGCGCAGGGAATCGTGAGGTTGCGATGTGTGACGGAGGTGACATTTCGTGGCAGGCGCAGTACTTTGTGCGCGTTAGACGTGTGGACGCGGAAAGATTCGTGGCAGGCGCAGGGAATCGGGAGGTTGTGAGTTGTGGTAGAGGTGAATGTCGCTGTCACATTGGGATTGGCGTGTGAGCGGGCGTCGTTTGGAGGGGCTGGAATCGCGAAACTGCTTGGCAGGGCTGCGTGATGTGTGTGCTCCGATGGGTGTTTCCGCTGGACTTTTGGAGGAACACTCGTGCGAAACGTTCGTTTTGCAGACTTTGACATGTGAGTTTTTGAGGAAGTCTCGTACGAAACGCTCGTTTTGGGGACTTGACATGTGACTTTTGAAGGAAGTCTCGTACGAAACGCTCGTTTTGGAGACTTGACGTGTGACTTTTGGAGGAAGTCTCGTACGAAACGCTCGTTTTTGAGACTTGACGCGTGACTTTTGGAGGAAGTCTCGTACGAAACGCTCGTCTTGCAGCCTCGCAGCGTGACTTTTGGAGGAAGTCTTGTACGAAGAGTGTGCCCTACAGGAGTGTCCCACAAGAGTGTCCTAGAAGAGTGTCCCGCAACCATGTCCCACAAGAGTGTCTCACAAGAGTTAAGAGTGTCCCAGAAGAGTGTCCTATAAGAGTGTCCCACAAGAGTGTCCCACAAGAGTGCCCTACAAGAGTGTCCAACAAGAGTGTCCTACAAGAGTATCCCACAAGAGTGTCCTACAAGAGTGTCCCACAAGAGTGTCCCGCAAGAGTGTCCCAAATGAGTGTCCCACAGGAGTGTCCCACAAGAGTGTCCCGCAACAGTGTCCCGCAAGAGTGTCACAAGAGTGTCCCTTAAGAGTGCCCCACAAGAGTGTCCCACAAGAGTGTCCCGCAAGAGTGTCCCAAATGAGTGTCCCACAGGAGTGTCCCACAAGAGTGTCCCGCAACAGTGTCCCACAAGAGTGTCCTACAAGAGTGTCCCACAAGAGTTTCCTACAAGAGTGTCCCACAAGAGGGTCCCACAAGAGTGTAAGAGTGTCCCACAAGAGTGTCCTGCAAGAGTGTCCCACAAGAGTGTCCCACAAGAGTGTCCCACAAGAGTGTCCCACAAGAGCTTCCTACAACAGTGTCCCACAAGAGTGTCCCACAAGAGTGTCCTACAGGAGTATCCCACAAGAGTGTCCTACCCGCAAGAGTTTCCTACTAGAGTGTCCCACAAGAGTGTCCCACAAGAGAGTCCCACAAGAGTGTCCCACAAGAGTGTCCCACAAGAGTTTCCTACAGAGTGTCCTGCAAGAGTGTCCCACAAGAGTCTCCCACAAGAGTGTCCCACAAGAGCTTCCTACAACAGTGTCCCACAAGAGTGCCCCACAAGAGTGTTCCACAAGAGTGTCCCACAGGAGTATCCCACAAGAGTGTCCTACAAGAGTGTCCCACAAGGGTTTCCTACTAGAGTGTCCCACAAGAGTGTCCCACAAGAGTGTCCCACCAGAGTGTCCCGTAAGAGTGTCCCACAAGAGTTTCCTACAAGAGTGACCCACAAGTCTGTCCCACAAGAGTGTCCTACAAGAGTGTCATTTGGACATATGTAGCTTTTTGAACGTGTTTGCATTCGGGTTCGTGGGCTCCATCTTGTTTTTTTTGTGTGTGTGTCACCCCCTGTACCAAAGGGTTCAATGCCACGGTTTTCTATTACAACCACTCCACGAGGCAGGGGACCACAGCTCCTTTCACCAGTCTGTGGCCAACGAAGCTACTGATGATTGGAGAGGATATGAACCTGGGACGCCAGGTTCACGTACCTGCTTTCCTTTTTCAACTGTTGACAAGCTGTCCACTCTCGCTTTTTTGGTTTCATGGTCCTTCACGATACTTCCCCCAAACCTACTCTTCCCCAGCAGCTGCGCCGCCGGTTTGATCGTCTTGCCGCCATTTTGAACAATGTTGAACAATACTTTTCAGCGGACTTTGCCACCTTGCCGTTCCCTCGCCTTCCTGCTCAACGTGGGAACTGAGTGTAACTGAGAACCAATGTCAGAGTGTTTTCGCTCAGCCGTCCCACTCGGGTGCTGAGTGTGATCCCCGTCACTGGGGCGCTGAATTCATGCCGGAAATCGTGTAACTGAGCTTTTCCACCTTCACCGGAATTCACCACTGGATCAACCTTAACTGAATTTACTGCCTCCACGGCCGCCGGGCCAAAAAACGGGACACCAGCAGATTTCACCCTGCATCGGTTTTGTATAAGCGTTGAACTTTGTGTTTCGTGGTTTTCTTCCTCAAGCTGAGCGATTTGATTCATTTCGAACGCTTAATTCGACTTGCATGGACTTACCACCTTTCACACTTTCACAACTTCCACAACTACCGCTTTTACGCTACATATTCACATTTTCACCATATCTTTACCATCTCACTTTACACGATTGCACCAGCTGCTGTCCTCGCCGCCGCGCCGCGCCGCTGCCATGGTGAAGCAGATACTACGAGTTCTGGACAGTCTTCCATTTGCCACACGATGCAGTATCCTTGGCCTTACTCCCACACAGCACCACTGCCATTACCCACTCCGCCAACACAACCGGCACCCCATCCACCACATCCGCACACACCACCAACATTCCAAGTTCCACAACATCAACCATTTCCAGTTCCACCACATCCAACACTTCCAGCTCCACAACAGCCAGCATTTGCAGCGCAACCAACTGTATTACCCTATGGACCTCACTCTGTGTGGACCTTCGTACATTCCCCTCACCCACCTCAGATACCGCCACAGGCCACACATCATCCACAAGCATTTCCAGCATCCTACATCGTTCAACAACATTCACCATCTGCCCACCCCACCACAGCTACCGTAATGCAGCCACCTCCCACACCTCAGCAGGTCACTCCAGCCTCCACATTCCCACCAGTGACACGGCTGTCACCACACCCTTCATCACAGCCCCAACAGGCAATCAGCGACTCACCACAAGAACAACCACCACCCCAACATCCTACACCACAGGATCCCACAAACCCTACTCCCAACCTCACGACTGCAGCTACTGTCTCACAACCCTCTCCATCACCAGCCACTACACCGGTGAACCCGGACCCTGCCGCCGGGGTAGCAACTCATACAGCTTCACCAGCACAGCCATCATCTCATCAACCACACACTACTCGGCGCCACCACCACCAGGGCCGCCGCAGGACCGATCATCACAGACACGGTCGCCACCGGCGTCGCCGTCGACGCGCGCACCGACAGCACTCCAGCACCACCAAACATAAAAGTTCCTCCAGGCGACACCGCTCGCCCTCCACATCCACCTACTCATACTCTTCCACACCCTCACGCAGTCGCTCCAGACAACCTCTTGACCTACGACCCAACACGGATGCTTCCACCGCCGACAATCCCAACACCTCCACCACGGAATACCCACTCACACCTGTACATCGTCGACCGCCCAACTTTTGGCGACCCACCTCACACTTTCAACAATTACCTCCTCAACAGCAACTTTTCACTTGGCTCGACTTCCATGCCGGCCAGCTGGATACCCCCAATCGACCTCAACACCACTACATTGCCAACCTTCTCCTCAACAGCAACATCACATACAAAGACATCACCGATTTCAGGCAATACGCCTACGCCAAGTGGAATGACACCACCCAGCAATATGATCAATTCCAGTACAATGCCATTTCACTCCCATACCTCAACACCAAAGCCACCCAACCCTCACCGCTGCCAGTTTCCCGCGCCATTTCCACAGACAGGGAAGTTGCACACATCAACGCCTGCCACACCGGCCCTGTCGGCAACATCACCAACATCCTACGACAAGGCCGTTTCCTCCCCAGCACACTTCACTTCCCAAACTACCCTGGCTTTTTTGCCCAGGGGGTCCGCATTATACTCACAACCCACAACACGACCACGGCAAATTTGCTCGCATTATCCACAATACATGGCAACTGCACAAAAACACCAACTCCCTCGTTATCACACTCCTGGCCTGGGGCGCCGCCACAAAATTCACTTCGGGCGGCGAAGAACATGCCATGACCCTTTTACACGACAACCACGGCGCTGTCTTCCACCAGAAGGGCAGAAGTTGGGTCATCCACCCTGACCATGCTATTGTCAAAGGACTAGCATGGTCGGTCAACGCAACCCCACCAGACCTGTGACAACCCAACACTCAACACCCACCCGACAACCGCCTACAACCTTCGGTTTCACCCAGCCACACACCCTCCGCCTCGCCAGCAGCAAAAGCAACGCTGACACTCGCGCAGATGCTTCGGATTTCAACTTTTACATGTC